GTGTAAGCATTGAAACATTGAGGGTTATAAAAACAGGGAAGTCTGATTATAAAATAAAAAAGGTATATATTCGAACAAATATATGTAATTAAAAAAAGGGGGAATCTACAGCACAATACATTTACGAGGCTTCTTAGTAACAGGTGGCTCTAAGGCTGCAACAATAGCCTCATCAAAAACATTTTTCAATCCCTTTTGAGTCAAAGCTGAACACTCAACATATTTAACAGCACCCAATTCCCGAGCGAGCCTTTCGCCTTGCTCTGCAGTTACGGGCCTCATCTTTTGTCGTGATAGCTTTTCAACCACCAATGGATCATCTCGCAAATCTATCTGAGTACCGACAATTAGGCATGGAATTCCTGGACAGTGGTGATGAACCTCGGGGAACCATTTTTCTTTGACATTTTCGAAAGAAGCTGGTGAGGTTACTGAAAAGCAGACTAAAAAGACGTCTGTTTGAGGATATGAAAGAGGACGAAGACGGTCGTAATCCTCTTGGCCTATTATCCGTTTTTAATAACAATGCAACAGTGAAAAGTAATCATAGAAATAATGATGACATTTATAATGAAAGGATGAAAGAATTAAAAAATTTTAATAATTAATTTCAAAGAATCAAAATAACATAACTTTATAACCCTAAGGATACACACCAGCTGTATCAAACAAACCCAATGTATACGGTTCATCTCCAATCATGACTGTAACGGCATAATTGTCAAAAACCTAATTAAACAAGGATCGTTAAAATGATGATTATCTATAAGAAATTACCAATTCAATCGTTAAGTAATGCTTACCGTAGGAACGTATTCAGACGGAAATTTATTTGTTGTATAAGAGATTAAAAGACACGTCTACATTAAGTAATCCAAAGTTATAATAACAGAATAAAAAATAAGTTATTAGTATCGTGTGAATTGTAAAAAATATTACGATGTTTCAAATAATTTCACTCAATTATTTTTTCTCTTCTTGAATGACCGAAAAATTTTCTTTTTACATTGTAGTTTCATACAATCTACTATAATTAATATACGTTACTATATACAAAGGTATTGATTAAATGAGGTTGTTTTCAGAATTATTTAACCGAAGAACTTTACAATTTCGATCGTCAAAGTAAGAAATCGTAAGCACTATCCTCAAAAAAACGACTCTACCCGTTATGAAATTAAGCCATAGTTTGATTAAAAAAAGAAGGTATGTTTATTGCTTACCTTGCCAACAGCACCATCACCGACAACAACACATTTTATTGTTTGCATGATTATTAAGTACTATAAAACAAATAAAGGACCAAGATTTAACGAGAACCCAAAGACAAAGACCTATAGGAAGCCAAAAGAAAAAAAAAGTTGAAGGGGATTAAAGGATAAGGAGGTAACGGAAATGGAGATAAACGACACTATAGGTAATAGTGCTGAGGCTATATAAGTCCGTGAGGATATATAGGACTTTGAAGGTTAATAATGATATGGCTGGTATTTTGTATTTTGTCCTTCCTATGCTTATAATATTTGATAAACTCACATCTGCTTTGCAACCACCAAAAGCGCAAATTAAGACGATTTTTAGAATAAGACCAAGGGTTACTGAATAGGTTTCACGAAACTCAATTAATTGGCACATTCTTAAGTCACGCACCCTTTATCAAAGTAAAAATATACTATATAAGTTGATAAGCTACACTCCGCGATCATATGGCAAATGTAACACATTATTACCATCAGTTATTACTCTTATTTTTTTTAACCTAAAGATCATTACTATTCTTACTATTTTATAGGTCATCGATAATGACTTTTTGATATTGAATATTCTAAAAAAAATATCATCTTAAATGTCAGCATTACGTTGATTTTTTATAAGTATGAATATATATATATATATACTATGAAAGCTCTGAATATTACAAGTACCTGTGCATTATCTTATTAGTGTATATACAGTATATATATACGTAAATATATATATATATATATTTTAGTAAAACTTTGTATAAAAATATTAGTAAACCCTTTATAAAATTGATCACGAGTCATCTTTGTTCGTATTGGTTTTATGTGGTACCGTTTAAGTTAAACAAAACTTTAGTATTTAATGCTTTGTAAATTATAATTAAACAATACATACGTATTGGATTTTTTTTTTTTATTTAAAAAAAAATATATATATTGTATCAAGTTTTAATCATTTATTGTTAAAAGATATACAATATAATTTTCAAATACAGTATAACATAATAAGAAATGTTTAAAAATATAAAAAATCATTATAAATTCGAAACTACAATATTTTGTTTAATAAAAAATTTTTTAAATTGTTTTTAATATTTAAATTAATACAATAATATATTAAAAATTAAGTTTATATATATATTTATTTATTTATTTTACTTTGCTTTAAACTAGATATTATATTAAAATTAGTAAAATAAATTTTTAAAAATAAAGCTGTTATTATTTAAATTTTAAAATTAAATTTAACAAATTCAATTTTTTTTATTTAAATTTTACAAATTTATAAATTTAAATAAAAAAAAATTTACAAGATTTTTTTTAGCCTTTTTTAAAACTAATATAGTAGTACTATAATATATATTTATTTAAAAGGTTTTTTTAGATAGTTTTAGCCAGAAATATATAACTTATACAATATATCTCTAGCTTTTCTAATTAATCAAAAAACAAGAAAATTATATAATAAGCATTTATATAGGCTTGGTGCTACAAAAAAAAAAAAATTAACAAATTTTTAAAAAATTTATTTTTATATAAATCAATTTAGAATAATATTAGAATTATTTTTTACTTAATTTATTTTATTTTTTTTTATATTTAGAAGAATACTCTGGGTGTAGCACTCACCCCAAACTTTTATTAATACTTAAGTGGGTTTTTTTTTTTTTTAATAATTTTGGTAGTCTTGTCTATACTTTATTAGACTTTATAATATTATACTAGGAAATATTATAGTTTACAGAAGGCTAATCTTTTTGATGTCTAATTTACAAGTATTGGATCACCTGGCTTTTTGTAACTAAAGTCCAAATTACCCATATGTGACCTGCTATAAGCAGGATTTTCCTTTAAAATACCACTTTCTGTACTAAAAGAAATATAATATTACTAGATAGTTCCTACTAGCCCATCAAGACTACTTATCTTTCTTTAAAACTTTTTTCATCTAGGTTTAGGCAGAATAGTTTATCTCTTACTTTTCTATAAGAGAATAAAGTATATACTATATTTTATAAAAAAAAAACAAGATTTAGAAGGAAAAAGAGACAAAAAAAAAAAAAAAAAACAAGAACAAGAAAAAAAATATATTTTCTAAATTTGATTTGATTATAAATGAACAAAGATAAAAAAAGCAAAAAAAAAAATATAGTAATCTGATATATTAAAAAAAGGGAAGTGCACTATTATAACCTGTGCTAGGCTTAAAAAATTATATAATAAATACAACATCTGTATATCTCTACTGTAAGACTTTGCCTTAATGTATTCATTTCTTTTTAACTATATGACCAATTCTGGATAAACCTTTAACTAAAGACAATTAATAGGCCTTATTATATGAAGTAGCAATATAATTGTTATCAAACAAAACACATAGTTGCAATCTACTAAGTTGACCGAATTTAGAAGAAATAAACAATATCAATCTTCTGATAGGAGTAAGCTGTTTTGTCTATTTTTTTTAAAAATTTTGTTGTAAGCACAAGTGAGTAATAGTAAAAAGTATAAATCTTGTACTTTTTTTAAGAGAGAGTATATATTTCTTCAAAATAATAAGACAAGTAGATTTGAGTACACTACTAATATTTTTTTTGATAAGTGATAAACTCTAAACTTGTTAGTAAGTAGTATATAAAAACTACTTCTAAATAACAAATACTATATTTACAGTGAGTAATAAGCTTTAAACCTATTAGCAAATAGTGTATGAGAACTATTTCTAAATAATAGGCACTAGTTTATGATTCTCATTAGTCTTATGTCCTCCTTCTCTAATATAGTTTTACTGTTTTTTGTTTTGAAAAGTTGGTCCAAGGGATTATCAAGAAGAGTTGCCATATAGCTGATTGATACTTAAGTGAATTGATATATGGCAGTACTATAAACACATATATATTATATATTAGTATATATTAAGATTAGGACTTTAGGTTTATAAACTATTTATCTACAACTAAAACTTATCAAAGCTATCAATATTCCTATATATGTGATTAATCTAGATTTTTGTGTATTCTTACCTATTTTCAATTAACTTTCACATGTTTTTTATTTTATCTACTTTATTTACTATCTCAATTTCCAAATTGGTATATTAATGCTTAAATACCTAGTGGTATTAACAGAATTTCGCTAATCTGCATTCTAGAACATTTTGATCAGCCAATCAAAATTTGTCTATTTCTAATTTTTGACTGTTTTTTTTAAAATCCTAGCGATGTTTTCTTACTACCTACTTAATTAAACTTAATAAAATAATTTTATTTTAATTCTATACATCTGTAAAATTAAAACAAAAAAAAATTCATTGAATTAGAATAGTTTTCTATTGAGAAATCTTTGCTAGAAGTTAAAAAAAATATAGAAAATCTTTGAAAATCAGACAAATTTTTTTCTTTTTTATACTTTAAACAAAGTTTTCTTGAAAATTAACTATTCAAATTTGATAAAAATTATTTTATTTTAATTCTATAGGTTAATATAATTAAAATAAAAAAAATTTAGTCAAATTTGAATAGCTAATGATCAAGAAATATTTATTATAAATTAAAAAAAATTCTGGCTGCAGCTTTCTATTTATAGGTATCTAAACTTTGGATAAAGATTACTTGGAAATTACCTAGTCAAATCTGATCAAATTTTTTTATTTTAATTCTATAATTACATAGAATTAATATAAAAAAAAATTAATCAAATTTGACTAGGTAATTGCTGAGTAATCTTTGTTCAAAGTTTAGGTGCCTATAAAAGAAAAACTGTAGCCAAATTTTTTTTTAATTTATAATGAATATTATTAAATATTTAGTTATTCTTGACAACCAACTATCCAAATTTGGTGAAACTTTTTTTATTTTAATTCTATAAAGCCACAAAATTAAAATAAAAAAAAGTTTACCAAAATTCAGATAATTGATTGTCAAGAAATCATTGTTTAAAATATAAAAAAAGAAAAAATTTAACTGATTTTGGTTTTTTTTTCTAAGATTTTCTATATTTTTTTTTAAACTTCTAGCAAAGATTTCTTGATAGTCAACTATCCTAATTTAATGAATTTTTTTTATTTTAATTCTGCAAATATATAGAATTAAAATAAATTTATTTTATTAAGTTTAATTGAGTGGTTAGTAGGAAAATATTACTAGGATTTTTAAAAAACAGATAAAAATTAAAAATAACCAAATTTTGATTGGCTAATCAAAATGTTCTAGATTGAAGATTAGCAAAATTTTGCCAGTGACATTGGGGTAGTAGTTAATATTTCAGGTAGGTGCTTTTTGCTTTCGATTTGGTGTGTCTAGTTTTTATCACTACTTGGTATACTTGTTGGGAGTTTATATTTTAAGCCATGCAGCTGCTTCTACTATATTGGGTAAGTATCTCAAACCTGTATGTTGCTACAATTACTAACTTTTTTGTGACTTTTAGGGCCCAGGTTTTAATGTGTCGAATTCAGTAATCATGCAAACAGCTATACTTCTCTCTATGATAGTAAGATGTCTAGGCATATTTCATACAGATTACTCTGTACTTTCAAAGCCTTTTATAGTTGGATAGCATAATGAGGCTTAGAGGTTTTAACAGATATATCATTGTTTTCTTTTTATAATAATTCTCGGCAGTTGTAGCCTCCAGTTATATACTACATGTACTTGTATTAGCTATACTAGTTTTGGTAGTCCCAGGCTCTTAAACATCTGAAGACTCTTTTATGGATATGCTCAGAGCTTTATTGGGTCTTGATACATACACACCTCCATACTTTAGCCTCTTTTTAGTAAGTAATTTTACATAATGCCAGAGGTATACCAAATCTGGTAAGGCCAATTCTTTACCACAGATTTCTTTGTATTTACCACTTTTTTCACTATTCCAATTTTAGTTACTACCTAGTAATTTTCTTAAACAAGATTCCAATACCACTTTAGAGTTGTTGGTACTACTTATACCAACCAAAGATTTATATGTACAACCTTTGTGTAATAGAACATTCTGTAACAACTATAGTTATATATAGTGCCAACTTC